TTAATACAAGATTGCCCAAAGTTATTGAAAATATTCATTTTAATTACACTTTTCATATTTTCTCTCTGCCGGTAGTTAAAGGCTCATTGCTATATGAACCACCTTGTCTGTATACTGGCATAATAATCTCAATGTATGTTGAATTCAGTTTTAATGATGCTCATTGCCCAAATGAGTTGTCCCTGGAAAGTGCAACAGTGAAGTGACTTTAATACAGTGGTTCTTAGAGGACACCCCTGACCAGCAGTGTGTTAGGAAGGCAAGTTCTCAGTCCTCCCTCCAGACATGCTAAATCAGTAACCCTGGGGTGGGACCCAGCCATCTGTGTTTGACAAGCCCTGCATCTGTTCTCATGCATGCTAAAATTTGAGAGCCACTGCTTTGTTCAATATATATTTTCTCTTCCAACTGTTCTTCAGCTTGCATCTTCCTTGGAGAATTAGTATAATACTTGGGATTTTGAACTATCTGTGTACAGTACTTGGCCTTGAAATTTGATGGAAGATTGGAAAATATTATTTGAGCCTTCTTTAAATATTAGGTTTGTTTGCCATTCAAAGAGATGAGGAAGAAGCTTCTGTGCTTTATTGGCATTTCAGAAATTTCTGCCCATGGGAGAAGAAATTTTACCAACCACTGTCCTAGAATTGATCATTACTCTTTTAAGCAAAAACTAGGCATGATTATATTTATTTCTGTTTTTCTCTAGCTACAAGAGCCAAATACTGATCGACAACTTATTGAAACTTCTCCGGTTCTACAGAAACTTACAGAATTTGAAGAAGCAATTGGAGTAATTTTTACTCATGTTCGACTTCTGGCAAGGGCTTTCACATTGAGAACTGTGGGATTTAACCATCTGACCCTGTGAGTTAGAAGTACTCATGTAGTCCCAGTGTAACCATTTAGATGAGACAGTCCCAAACCTTTGCAGTGTGCCCTTTGGAAGAATTGGGGTTTCAAATATATTTCCATTGAAAGTCACATTGTGAGATGAATGAGCAGACACTGGTGTGGACCAGGGGATATGCTCCAAGCCAGTATTTCTGGTTCCATTGTCATGCATCTTGTTGTTCTGTGACGCTTAAGAGAAAAGTGAAGAAATAAAACATTTTTCCATACAGGGACAGATATTAAATATTGTAGACCATGGGGCCTGTGTGCAGTGATTCCATTCTGCCATAGAAGCATAAAAGCAGCCCCAGATAGAATGGAAACGAAAGAGTATGACTGCGTTCCCATCAAACTTTATTCTTAGAGACAGGATGTGGGCTGGATCCGGCTCTCCGACCCCTGTGATAGATGAATGATTTGAAGATGAGCTGATGAAATAATTAAGAAAGTATGCAAAGTTTTATTTCTTTGGGATTGTTTGTTTTGATCCTCTCCTGAAAAATCAAATATTCCCAACTCTTTAAACTGTAAAGATTAAAGATTCTTATCATAGATTTTTTTTTTTTAAGTCTAGATTCCAGATTTGAATAATGGAGTACATATTTCAATAGAATTAGCAAAGAAATTATTGGGCCTTTTGCTTTGTTTTATCACAAGACTGTTGTCTGTATTATACTTTCTCAGTTGATGCTTTTCAGCTGACCAGACAATGATTACCAGTCTTTATTTTAGCCGTCATTTAACCCTTAGATAGTATTCTCTTTACTCTTCCTGAAAATTCAACCTATATTAATTCAGATTTCTTCTCAATTAAAGGGCTTCCAGAAATTGTGTTTGGTTTGTGATTTAAAACAAGATAAACACATTGCCTTTTCAAGTCATGTCTTTTAAAAATTTTGCTTTTTTTAATTCACAAAAGCTTATTGATCTCTTTACATTGATGTTTCTTTCTTCAGAGGCCATAATCAGAGGATGGAATTCCTAGGTGACTCTATAATGCAACTGGTAGCCACAGAGTACTTATTCATTCATTTCCCAGATCATCATGAAGGACACTTAACTGTGAGTTTGTGTTAAATCACTCCCTCCAATAAGATTGCAGTATAGAATGAAGATTACAGGGATCAAATATATTTTTATATAATTGATGACTTAGTTCTTGGTGACTTAACTTATCATATGGCTTTATTTCATCATACAAATTGTATGCAAAGCAAATATGCAATGAAAACTCATTTTACACTCCATCTGCTGTTCACCTACTCTTTGTAAGACATTGAACTAGGCATCATGGAGGCTGACAGTCTGTCCACAGGGGGTTTAAGGCTATGAGAAGAGGTTAAAATGTAAGTAAATAACCACAAGTAAATGCTATATATTTTGGATATGTATGTATATACCCATGAATGTACACTATAAAAAGTATAGGTAGGTAACTATAACTAAATGCAAGATAGGACATGTTAAATATTATAAAGATGCCTACATAAGTTACTATACTTGTACAGTTTAGGAAAAGATAAGATTTCTTCTAGCTGTGGAGTTCAAAGTAGTCTTAATGGGTATAATGATGTTTGAGTCTTTAAAGATGGTTAGAATTTGGTCATTGGCAGCTGGTGGGAAGAAATTTCTATGCAAGGAAATTTTTGTCCAAATGCACACATTGGGACTCAGAAACAAAGGCATGGCATGGAAAATCAGAACAAAGCTTTGGCCCCTCCCCTACCTTGGGGAAGTAAATCTCTTCCCTCTTCTCTCTCTCTCTCGCTCTAATTTACTTTCTAAATAAACTATATTTTCCAATCTAAAAAAAGGAAAGAAAAATTAGAGCATGGAGAGGCAGTAGGGACTCAGTTTGGCAAGTTCATGGCAGAGTTGGAAGGGAATTACAAAGACAAGTTTGATTTATAAACAAAGTGAAATGGTCCCCGTGCCTCTTACTTTTGTTTTATAAAAACTTTCTTGAGCTTTTTTATTTACTGCATACTGCTTTTATTCTGTGAAGCCAATCAATAATATACCTGGAATGGCGAACAGAACATATCTAGAAAGCAGTCATGATGATCTCTCAAGGCACAAGGAGTAAGTAACCTTTGCGAAGTCACTTGTGAATTAGGCATTGAGAAAGCAAATACTTTATTGGGCAAAGAAAAATAGTGGTACACTTCAGGATGCTTTGTTAGTACAGACTTTATTACGTTGAAGCAAATAACAAGTCTTTCATACTTTGCATCTCTACAATTTTTATGTGTGTTTTGCTGTGAGAGAATTGAATTTTGTCTTTGTAACTATGAACTCTGGAAATAGTTTATGGAGCACATAAATATTGGAACTAGGGAAGATATGGTGATTTGGCTATGTTTGGATGTAATTTTTCAGTGGGATTTCTAAGCCTAGCAGCCATTTGCTCAGTGAATACTTATTGAGCTCCTACTGTGTACCATGGACCATTGTAAGTGCTAAGGAGTCAGCAGCACTCTTATTTTAAATTTAACTTTAACAGTTTGCCATTTAAAGTTAACTGCTTTTAGATAAACAAGAAAGTATTAGCTTCCTGAGTTAATATTAAATTCTTAAGAAAATATGAGCATATGAGAAATGAACTGTCTGGTGTCTTACTATACATTAGGAAAACAATACACTGCACATTCAATATCCTTTGATATTTTGTAGGTGTCAGAGTATTCAGTTGGTTTAAGAAATGGCTAAACTGAACCAAGTAGCTTAAAGTATTAATTCATTTTATGGCTCTGTAGAGGTCATTGTTGAAAATGTCTGATTTAAATACACACATTTCCTCTGGTGTTACAAGTTTACTGTTTCCCACCTGCTCATGCCTACACCACCCCCGACTATCCCCAACATTGAACAGATAATGAAACCAAGACTCAGGGGCAGGAGTGTCCTGCCCATGGTCTAGATAAAGGTAAAATTAGGATTGTGTGAGATACCCTAGTTCTAGATTCTTTCCAAAATCCCTCCAATGCCAGAAGTGTAGTTTTATTCAAAATCTGTTTACAGCCTTGTTGTCTTAAAATTAGAGTTTTTTACTAGCTTAGTAGAACAGTGTTAACAAATGACAGAATTATGATATGATAGTTTTTTGAACTATATTCACAGAAAGCTTTGGTAGAAATCAACAAAGCAGTAGATCTGCTGGCAAGACAAAAATGATCTGTCATAAATTAAACACATATTTAAAAGATCAACTCTCATAAGCATCAGCATGGCTGTTCCTTCCCCCCTTCTTGAAACACTAATTCCATTGGCTTCTATCACATAGCACTTACCTGGGTTTCCCCTTACCTTTTCAGCTACTCTTTTCTAGCCTCCTTTGCATACTCATCTTATTTTCTACTGCTAATAAATATTCTAGTATCTAAAAGACTCACTTCTAGGTCACTTTCTCTTCTTCCTGGGGTCTCTCCTAGGTAGTCTTTTCCATGTATATCAACATTTTCACCCTATTGACAGATGACTTCTAGACTGATCCCTTCAGTCTCGTCTCTTTTCTGAGCTTAGCTCCAGCTTCCTTCTCAGCATCTCAACAGTCCAAGACTGATTTTATAATCTTCTCCTACCTGGGTCTTTGTCCATTTCCATGAGAATTTGAATGGTAACATCATTCATCTAGTGTTGCACGTCAGAAACCTAGGAGCCATCTTTCATAAACCTAGGAGATACCTTTCATGCCTCCCTCTATCTTCCTTTTCTATATTCCAGTCCATTTATAAGTCCTGACATGTTACTTCTCTAGCATCTCTTGAATTTATTCTCTCCTTACCACCTTGTCTCCATCACCCACATCCTCTGTACTAGCCTTACTCACCTAGTCTACTGCAGTAATTTCTGCATAGCTATCAAAACTTTGCAAGAATGTGATTGACAAAGAGACAATTGGAGGAATGGTATTTATAAATCGCAAAGGATAGGAATCTTAAGACTGTGTTCATACAAAGTGTAAGATAGTGTAGCATCTTCCTATGAGAGGAGTGGACTCCCCAAGTCCCCAGATTTTCCCTAGGATATATGCTACTATTTGAAAAGCTTGCCTTTGCTGTTCTTGTGGGTATTTTTGTACTCTGAGAGATGGGCAGTCTCTCAGACAGAAATCCTGCAAGAGGCCCAGGTCTCAGGGTTTGGTGAAGTCATTTTTGCAGCTTCCTACTATGGTCTTCTTATATCAACTCATGCCCCCATCCAATCCATCTTATATGCTGCAGCCAGAGGTTTCTTTTCAAGACAAACCTCCTGTGACTCCACTAGCTGTTCATCTTCAGTCTGCTTGGTTGTTTCTCTTCATTTTCCCAACCTCTTAACATGGGCGTGCCCCAGTGTCGGTTGTCAGTCCTCTTCTCTTCCCTAAGTGATCTCATTCCTTCTCATGGCCTTGAATACATCTGTACACTACTTTCTAATTTATGTCTTCAGCCTTTACGTCTCCCTTGTACTCCAGAATCATATGTCTGTCATGTACAGATATACTCAAATATCGATGTATAAATGCACTTGAATCCCTAGTTGGATTTCTGATGGACATCTCAAAATGAATGTGTTCCAAACAAAACTGATTTCCACCCAAACTCTGATTCTCTCAGCGTTCTCCTTATCAGTAAGGATCATTTCATTCTAGTTGCTTAGGCTAAAAAAAACTTTGGTGTCCTCCTTAACACTTCTCTTTCTTTCATATTATACCTTCCAGCCATTAGCATATCCCATTGATTTATACCTTCTAGGTTTACTCAGAACCTGACCGTTTTTTATTGGCTCCACTGTTCTCTCCCTGGTCTGAGCCACTGTAGTCTAAATTATGCCATAGACTCCCAGCTGGTTCTCCCCTCCACCCCCAACCCTAGTCTGTTTTCGACATAGAATCTAGAGGGAATATTTTTAAAGGGAAGCCAGATTGCATTCCTCCTTTGCACAAAACCTCCCAAACCTTCCCATCTTGTGGGTGAAAGACAATGTTGTTGTAGTCACCCTGCATGGCCTGGCACCCTGCTGCTGTCTCTTAACTTTGTCTCCTAACTCTTAACATTGGCTTCTGTGCAGGACACTAAACAAGCACTTGCCTCAGGGCCTTTGCATATACTGTTTCATCTGGCTGCAACATTTTCCTGGCCATCTATATGGCCAAATCCCACACTTCCTTCAGATCTCTGCTCAAATGTCTTCTTATCAATGAGACCTTCTTTAACCCAACCCTGCTTAAATAGCAACACTCTCCCCTTGTTCCTAGTACCTTTCCCTCAGCCTGGAACCTCATCTTCATTTTTTCCTCAGCACATAGTATATATTTCACTTATTTATTGTTTTCTCCCATCAGAGTATAAACTCCCTGAAGACAAGGATTTTTGTCTGTTTTTTAAATTCCTGATTCCCTGGGTCCTTGGGGGGGGTCCTTTCATTTCAGTACTCAGCAAATATGCTTTGAATGAATGAGCATCATATCTCAGCCTAGCCCTCTACAGTTGTTCCTCAAATAGTTTCTAAAGAACAGGCAAGGCCCTGGGTGAGCTGGCCTCGCCCACCTGTCCAGCCTCATGCCACGTGTTCTTCTCACTCTGCACTGGCCTGCTTTGTATTCTCCAAGCCCCTTCCTGCCAGTGGATCTTTGTATGTGCTGTGCTGTTCTTCTACCTGGAAATCACTCTGCTTCTAGCCCTTACTCTCATCTGCCTGTTATCTCCTATTTCTCCTTTAGATGTAAATTCTGGTGTTACTTCTGGATGCAGGGAAACTTCCCTGACCGCCCTCCCTCCTACCCCCCAACCCCCATCAAAATTCTGTGTTGTTTTCTTTCTTGGCACCTATATTGGCTTGCCTTCTTCCCTTAGATTAGAAATTCTGTGAGAGCATGTTTGTGCTCCTCACTGTATGCCTGGCAGTGCCTGGCATATGACAGGCTCTTCATATGTATTTGGTAAATAAATAAAAGAGTGGCAGGCTGCAGACAGCCAAGTCCTATTAAAAGGAAGAGGAGGTGGCACTGGAGGAAAGTGACCTGTTGCTGTGTGTATGAGGGAGGAAACTGAGAACGTACTTATGAACATCCAAGGAGT